ACCTTCCTTCCTCCCTCCCTCCCTCCCTCCCTCCCTCCCTCCCTCCCTTCATCCTTCCTTCCATTTTCATTCCTTTCTTCCTCCTCCCTTCTTTTTTCCTCCCTTCCATTTTCCATCCATCCACCCTTCCTTCTTTCCTTCCTTTTTTCTCCTTCCTTCCTTCCTTCCTTCCTTCCTTCCTTCCTTCCTCCTTCCTTCCCCTCCATTTTTCTTTTCCTTTTTTTTGTTCTTTTTTCCTTTTCTTCATTCTCCCTCTTTCCTTCTTTCTCCTTTTCCCTACCACCTCTCTCCCCCCCCCCCTCTCTCTCTCCCTCCCTCCCTCCCTCCACCCCCTCTCTCTCTGGCACTAGGACGCGACTTCTGTAGGATTTGGGGGAGAGATCTGGGAAGGTTTAAACTTACAGGCTTGGAAGGGACCTTAGAGGTCTTTCAGCCCCACCCCCGCAACTATGGCCGAGCCGTTGTTGCGCGTCCTTCCAAAGAAAGAGTGAGAAGGCCGACTGCGGTTTCATCTCTTGGGTCCTGACGGCATTTCTTTTTTCTCTCTCCCTCTCTCTTTCTCCCCCTCCCTCCCTCCCTCCAAAAGGTTCACGCCTGGGAGATCTCCGACCACTTGCTCCAGATCCAGCAGGACGTCGAGTCCTGTTACTTCGCAGCCCAAACCATGAAGATGAAAATCCAGACCTCGTTCTACGAGCTCCCCACCGATTCCCACGTCTCCCTGCGCGATTCCCTGCTTTCCCACATCCAGAATTTAAAGGACATGTCCCCCGTCATTGTCACCCAGGTGGGCATCCAGCCGAAGGGGGGAAGGGGGGACACGGGTGGGGGGCAGCCCCTTAGCGCTGGCAGCAGCCTGTAGAACCGCACCGAGCCTCCGTCTGCCCAGCTTGGGGGGCCTCCGTGGGTCCTCTGCCAGTCTGGGCTGGACAGGCCGGCATTGTTTGGTCTGGTCCAGCAAGAATAGGTGTATACTATACAAGAATATGCATCCATCCATCCACCTCTCTCTCTCTCTATATATATATATATATATATCTGTCTGTCTATTTATCTATTCTATATCTCTCTATCTACCTAATCAATCTTATCTATATCTATTTATTTATTCTATATCTATCTGTCTGTCTGTCTGTCTGTCTATAGTATCTCCTATCTATCTATCTATCTATCTATCTATCATGTATCTTTCTATCTATATCATCTCTCTCTCTATTCTCTATCTATCTATCTATCTATCTATCTATCTATCTATCTATCTATCATCTATCTATCGCTATCTGTCTATCTCTCTATTCTCTATCTATCTATCATGTTTCTATCTATCATCTTCTGTCTGTCTGTCTGTCTGTCTATCTATCTATCTATCTATCTATCTATCTATCTATCTATCTATCT